CGTTCACAAGTTTCGAAGATTAGAAACAACTTCAGACGTACTTACAATAACACAATGCGACAACTATAAAATTAACCAACAATAAATGAATCGGAACCCACTCAATTACTTAACACAAGCATATGTACAATCAACACATCAAATGTTGTGGACTCTGCCTTGACGAACAACCCTTGAAGAACTGTAGGACTTATGGCAGTATGCCTGCATTACTTCTCAGGTTGAAGTTCCATGTGGAAGACGTCCGGACACAAACAAAATCAACCAACAGATAGATGAGAGATGATACCAATTCAGTATACACAACACGAACATATGTAGAGAATAACACATCAAGTATGATGGACTGCACTTCGACGTACTACCCTTGAAGAATTGTAAGACTTACAGCAGTACGCCTACAACCCTTCTCAGATTGACGTCCTAGGTTGGAAAATCGTCGCAGAGTTTATTTGCTGACCTCCTTCTATCATCTATAAGATCAGCTCTGAACGGTGGCACGCCGGTGCCATTGTATCGTGGAGTGCAGGTGACTAACAAACATACGACGTATCTGACCAACCAAGCGTAGGCACAGGGTAATTTACACCAAAGATAATAACATTCAAATAATAACTTGAAAGGCCTTTATTCGTGGAAGTCAGTTTAACAATTACCCTCTCGTACACAGCTGGCTTATCCTCCCTAAACTGACCGTTGACATTTGTCCTTTCAAACGGACCGATACTGGCATAGTCACAGCACAAGATATCTGAGTTCATGGACATCCCTTTCATTGTGGATGACAACACCAACGACGAAAAGTTGATGAACTCAGCGGTGCATCGGAAGCTATTGTTTTTCGACTTTTAGAAGATTGCCTAACCGTAGGATTACCGCAATTTCTATCTTTTATTATTAGCTCCAGTTTAGCATTAACATTTGTCAATAGGTGGGCTACACGCTGATCATTTACACTGTCGGTTCACGAGTATTCACACCTTCTGCGATCGCATCTGCATTTATTTCCACTTAATGTTCACGGTGTACAGAACCTTTGTTCAACTCAGTAGAAGTAGGCATTCCACTCATCTCATCATAATCAGCCGAATATAAATGTGCTCTATAATGACCGTTGTCAGAAGTATCCACTTTACCTCCGTTTGTATGATCGACCTCATCATTTTCAAACTCTTTAATGACAGCAGAAGATTTCGGTTCTTCTTCATAAATCTTTAAAGGTTTTATACCTTTACTCTGACTACTAATACCTTGAAAACTTGAGGAGTCAGAACTGGACTCTGAAACTGTAACTCTCTCCTTCTGCACAAACTGTGGTCGTCTGTGACACTCCATTCAATAATGGCTTACCAGTTGCAACTACAGGCTTCTTTACTGCACCATTATCGTCACACAATTCGGACTCAGACCTTGATGAAGCTGATTTCACACTTAGCTTACTATTAAACTTGGTCACTTCTTCACAGTTCACCTTTGTGTGCACTTCTGGCAAGAGTGTAAAACACAACCGTGTTTGTCTCGCAGCTTGTAACCTATCTGTTGGGGACGTCCCACTAAAGCTGTTACACTCACTAAGTTTATATGGATTACTAGACACCATAAAGCTTTCTCTGAGACCCTTTCGTCATAAATGATTGCGTTTTGCTCTCAGACTGCTCTATTCTAGAGGTGGGATGCAATATACTGGCAAACTTGCTCATAGCTTTGTTGACACCTTCCCTTACCAGTTTCAAGATATCATCGAACTTTGGCTCAATACCCTCCTCATCTGTACGAGAGCCTATCTTCACCCACTACGTTTGCAGCCGAGTAGGTAGGCGTTTTGCTATTACCTCTAGGACGGAACTTGAGTTCAGATCGCTCATGCAATTCATCGAAACCAACGTATTCTTGTGGGTCATCACATTATCTAAAAACTCAGATAGTGCCCTGGAGCCATCTCGTTATTGACTACCATTACCTTTAACAGCCTCGAATAATTTCCTTACAATCATCGAAGGTCTTCCAAACATTTGACGCAGGATATGCATCGCCTCAGTATATCCTTCGTTTGGGGGCATAACCTTACAGCACTGTATAGCTCTTGCAGCAACACCAGTGCAATACCTCGACAAATACATTAACTTCATCTCGTCATTTAAAATAAAACCACTCAGCATGACCTCAAACTCCTCGATAAACTGTGGGTAGTTGGCTTGGTTTCCATCAAAGTACTGAGGTTCAAACTTGGGTAGTCTTAAAGCCCTATATCCCTAAACGGCGAAGCGTGAACATCAGACCCATCATACTGTGCATCATGCATATCATTGTAATTAACAGGCAGCTCATCGTCACTTACTTTTTTGTCTGCTTCCATGGTGCCACATCCCTTTCTTGCCCTAGGCCTTATCCAACGTCACCAAAGGATCCAAACTGCGTTGATAATCTGTGTCAAAAGAGAAGCTGGCTGCAGATCCAATAAGTAATCCCGAAAGAGCTCCAGAAGGCGCTCCAGAAAACGAAAAAATGAATAAAACTGCCACAGAAGAAGATCCAGAAAAAGAATAAAAACTGTTAAGGACCTTATCCCTAAGTTCCTATTGTTACAAAGACGCTCCGAACCGATAAATACTATGTACTTTCTTCGAATTTAACTCCAAAACACCAGTATTGTAAGAAGGAAGTTATATTGTTTGGCAATTAAAGCGGAGAACAGTAAGAGTCTACAAACAAATGTTTTACACGAAATTATGAAGCACTTTTATTCGTTTTTGGTCGTTCTCGTCGAACTTGTACACGATCGAACCATTTGCGCCTTCCAGTTATAATAATAATAATGTATATTTTCATATTTTCACCAATGGCTATAAGTTCCGAAAACAAACGCTCAGTGTTCACCTTCATTGAGAGCTGGTGTCGGCATGGAATCATGGAATAAATAAAGTTGTCTAATTCTCTAAATATGCACAGAAAACTAGAACGAAACCGAAGACGCTTATTCAAGGCACTTGTATTATCAGCCTACACTTGAATTTTGGATTTTGTTTGGGATAAGAATGGAAAGGGATCGTACCTTAAAAGGCCATCGGTTTATGTACTCAAATAGAAGATCTGCTTTGATTGGAGGTTAGTAGCGATTGCGCGCTGCAAGGCTATAGGCTGTGTTTTCAACAGGTGTGTTATTGATTAGGAGACTTAATGAAGATCCACAAAATTCACAATTAATTCTTTCGGAAAATGCGGAGTAAATTGTCTCATCATTTGATTTGGTGGTAACTTACTTAGAATAGCATTTCACTTCAACATGAAACAATTATTAACAGGGTCATCTTAGAGGTTGAATAAAATGTTGAAGTATTTGTTTTTATAGGGATTTAGTTTGATTAGTTGGAGGATTTCATCATGAGCTGACACTATTTACAGAACCACTGGAAAACCTGGGAGTACTTGGCAGCTGTTTTTTTCTAGTGTGGGACCCTTCATCAGTAGGACTCACTGGTGTTCGAACCAAAATATCTTGCAAATGCATTGTGAATATATGTGTTAGGCTGGGACTCCGTGGTGCAATGTATTTTTTGTTGGATACACCACACTTTTCTAACTCAGTGTTTTTGACCATAATAATATCACTCTTGATACGACTTGGAAGACGAATTACACCCTTTCTTAACCAGGTTCTTCAAAGTGAAAACCTTGGCTGGTAAACACCGACAGAACTGAAGACGCATGTGATTAAATAACCGAAGAAACGGAAGTGTTGTAAAGGTAAAGTATCAGTCTTCAGACCTCAGCTTCTCAAATATCAGACCAAGAAGCAGGCAGGAAAGTTTGTTTCTCTACAAACGTCCCTCTGCTAACATAAAGTCAAGTAACCAGGTTTACTTCATGAGTGCCCATTTCCTTAAATCGTTTTTCGAAGAAGGATTTTGACTAATAGATAACTAAGTGACTACCACATGTATCTGGTTTAGAGTTGTCTACACCACGGATGAGCGAAATCTAGTGATAACTAAGGCTATAATTTGTTGGTGGATGGAGATTAAGTAAATGTAATGCTTACGATTACTCTGAACACAAAATTACTGACGACGAAAGTAAATGGCGATAATCCGAATTGTGCTACTGATAGCCAAAATGCTCCGCTGAAGCTGCTTTTCAAAATGCTTTTGTTTACATCATCTCGTATACCTTGAAGTGCATGTCAGAAAAAAGGATGAATATTTCATTGCCCGTCATCGCTAGGCATTCAGTATATGCGGACAGAATCTCCGAATGGCCAATAAACTAACGATCTCCGGAGGAAAAACATGTGAAACCATTATTTTCTGTATTCACCTTAATGTAAGCTGAAGCATCCCTATCAATCCCGTTCGACTTTTATCACCATACCCTTTATTTATGTGTGTAATAGCGAAAAGTTTCATTGTTCTTCAAGGCTGTTATAACTGTCTGTATAAAACTAACTGATGTTTTCCCCTGAAATCGTTATATCTGGCTTTCACTGATGCAGGCTTGAAACACGCAGTATTTTTGACATGCAATATTGTCTGAAATCCAAAGACTTTTCCTCTGCTCAGCATATTATATTTCTCCATCAAATCGGTACACTGTTAGTCAGGTGATATCGTATTCCTTCAAGTTACAGGACAACTGAAAATTGCAAGTTCATTGCTTCCCAGGTAATCAGATCCGGATCTGTTGTATTGTTAAATGAATTTACATCTTGATCGCATTCACTTATGCGAACATTCAAGTAAATACGACGTCTACCAATGCAGAGTATTCTGATTTTTGATTGATGATAAAGTTAGAGGACGTTTGTCAAATCTCTTCCAATATATGCCAGTTTTTGCTAATCCTTTGCTTGAGAATTCAAATGAGGATGCAAATACCATATATATACTCCCCACACAATCGAATAATACTTGAATACGCCTTGAGATTTTCAAAGATATGAAAAAGATAAACATGTATCCTTCGCAAAGTTTGTTTTATTTTAGTATTTAATCTGAAAATTAATAGCCATACATTCAAAATTAGACGTTACAGGCGCGTATTTCAGTTCTTCAATGTATTGTATTGATTTCTGAATATATATCCCAATGAGTAACTAAGAATACTACCAATATTTGGCTTGAAAATAAAATGCACATAAAGAGGAAACTAAGACGCTACATAAGCAATATCATTAGCTTCACTAACTCTCGTACTAGAAATGCTCTACGTGATCGATCAGCAGATTTTTATGGTATGTCAGCATATTCATGTTTCTTTAATTGTCTTTGGATGAAGAATAGACTGTCTGGATGATAAATGACAGATTTCATAATTTTTGCCAGTGTTTGGTTAATTCATAATGTTTTACGGTTCCTTGTATGTGTTGACGTTTGCGTACTAATATCCACGTATTGCCTTAAAATAGGGGTGATGCGTAACCCTAAATACTTCAGTGCGTTTTATTCCTGTTTATGCGTTGTTCACTGGTATTTTTGTTCGCATAGTTTCAGTCACTAATTTTCCATACTTAACCAACAACTGAACCCAGTTAAATTGATTCTAATGGTGTGGTTGGTCTTTTCGACGTTTACCTTGGACAGGAAAACTTTATATCAACGAAACAAAGTTTCTCAGAAGTCGTAACTCGTTGAAGCGTGCAGACACGACATGCTGATTGACCTGTCGAAGTGAGAGTTTAGGTTGGTATCAATTTAATACTCCGAAGAAACTTCACTTTGCAAATTGATGGTATCACATTGGGTAATGCTATTTCAGGGAGTGAACATCTTGAAAATTGTAATGGTAAAGAATGTTTAGACTTCATTTATGGTGAATGGAAACGCTAGTGTCCTGCAATATATATATATATATATATATGTAGGGCTTAAAGACGATTCATGCATTTATGTATTGGCTCCTTGCTTTTATCAGACAGGATAACTCTTCAAAAGTGACTGTGACTGTTCTGAGGGCTCTTCAGAGCTGGCTAAATTAGATGCATTTATTAAAGAATCCACCAATTCCTTCCCTTACCTTAAACTGGGTGTCGATACAGATCATTTTTGAAAGGTAATCTTAAAATTTTTTGTGAGTAAACAGGATACCCAGGGTGTAAAGAAAACTGTTTTGATAGCATCTTCTTGTACATGTACCCTTAATCAATAACACTAGCGGTCCGATTCATAGGGCATCGAAGTCAACTAGGGTCGCATACATCAACATTTCTACCGTAAAATGGAATAGAAATGCCATTCAGCATTCCTGATCGACTCCGCAGAAGGATAGTTTTGATGACCACTCTCTATAAGCTCTCAAACATATTTGAATTTTGATAGAATGTTGTGATTAGCACCATGTTCTTTCACTGACAGTTTTCACTGCTAAACATTACCATAAGTCCGAATTGGGAAATACAATGACTTCCACTGTTCAAGCACCCTCTCGGCCATCAGAAAAGCTCACCTCATTTCGTCACTGGATGCAAAAAACGATGCAGAGATAGTGGTGATCAAGTCTGCAGAATGCCTGTACCTCATCAGCTCAGCCGAGTCACGTTTAATAAACTCAGGATGAGTTTGTACGCATAAAGTCTTATGAACTGTACTTCTAACCAACATTGCGACAGCCTCGAGGAGTAACCCAGATTGACATGTCACTCATTCGAACGATTTATCCAATTAGCCTTGACAGCAACCTAGATGCACGTACTGTTGAACCACTTCTACACATCAGAATGTGTAGATACAGATTCCTGTCAATCTTAAACCAGTGCTTCAAAAGTACAGATCAATAAAGTATCTGTATGTTATCGCATAATCTATCTGCACACTGGATTTCGAATGATAATTTTTTAATTGGCAAGCTTCCGCCACATATGTTTTAAGTTTGTCTACTTATTTATTCACTTCTATGATGGGAGTTTCGATGTTATCTTTGTCGTAGTCAGATGCCGCATAATCCTATGAGCTTTGGATCTCGGTCCAGGCAAGATTTGCAGAGGCGAGTCCTGTGTATCCTCAAACCATCGCAGCTGATTGCAACGTAATCTGCTGAAATTCAGACCTGATCGGTGAAAAAGCACCCACGTGTTGCGATGGTGTTGGCTGTGTTGGATGAGGGTTCTGGCTAAAATTAGTTTTTGATTTTCGGGAGGTCGCAGAAGGTGGTCTCCAACATCCAAGTTGTCTATTGGCTACCAAAAGGATTCTCCCCTTAGCAGACACCCGATCTGTGCACGCAAGGCTTCCAATGGCACTCCAGCATCTACCGAGTGCAGTCAATGGGAAAAGTCATTTAGTCGGTACTAAAACTCATCCTTTGTTGCATGTATGTAGTGTTCTGCCACTGCATATATAGAGATAATTTAAAAATAACGCTTCCCTGAACAGTTAATTCCTAATATAATCCAACCTGAGAGCAAATAAATAATACCTAGTGAGAATTTAGTCGAGTGATACAGTTTCAGTCTTAGCACTTATTTCAGTATTGACACCATATATGCAGGGCCTTGGATAAGCACATACGAAGTTTCCTTTTCGAACAGACAGAAAAGTTATTCGAAGCATCTCCATGGGATGTTGTATTCTAGTGTGTGAAATGCAGCATAAATCAATAGGGAGACTTCCCAGTCATACAACTAAAACTGAATGTTACCTTATTTGTGTCAGTGTGCGAAAGTCGCAAATCCTAAGCCTAAACAGAATACAGTATCAAGTTGGCCGTGTTACATATAACAATAAATGAAAATTTTCTGAAGGACTAAGACAAGCAGCAAACGAAAATATGGTCATATACATGAAGGTTATAGAAATGATGCAAAACACTCCATATATTAATATTCATTTCTTGGGTTCCAAATGGAACATGAGGCTGAAGCAGTACATCTGCGTTGCACTCGTTTCTCCGCCATCATTTTCAATATGTTCGGCGACTGCTCATTGCCTCTTCACACGATCTTTGGCGTCCCACTCTCGAATGCCCAATTCAGATTGCACTGGAGAGGCTGGCATGATATTTCGCTTGAAGGTCTCTCAGTTTATGTCCAATCGGTTTCTGTTTCCCCGTACAATAGGTGCCTGTTGGTTTCTTGTCAGATTTCTTTGTAGCTTACTCTTTCTGGCCATGTGATATTCACTGTCGAGGGAAGGCAGCTGCTGATGAAATTTTGCATTAGGCTGTTGAAAATGCTTTTGGTAATGCTCCAAGTCTCGTTTAAAGGCACTGATTTGATATTGGTGTTAAAATTCTTATCTTGTTTGTTGTATTGGGTGTTGTGGATCTCTTCATTAATTTCAGAGTAATGAACACCTGTTTTGATTTCCGGATCCTGATTGGCCTTGACGTTTTCATCTGCATATATATATATATATATATATATATATATATATATATATATAAACTTATTTACCCTGTTTTTATTTCACTTGGTTTTTCTCTTGACATCCAGTTAATGAAGTTACAGAAGAGTTAGTCGATCTCATGCGTAAAGTTTGGTTACCGATTATTGGTCCAGATTATGATATTATAGTAAGTAACATTTTGTGTCTAAATTGATCTGTAATATATCGGGACTTTGTCACTTATTTCATATCAATTCATGATACAATTGCAGTCAACAGTCGATTGTTGTTTTTCTTACAGCTACTAAGTTCTGTGATAAAAATATTACACACTATTGAAATGACTTAGCTTTATCGCATGACAGTCTAGACTGTATTATCCCTCATGTGTTAATACCATGGAAGAAATGTGTGAAAATAGTCACGTGTATATATCGTGAAAGAGAAGAGCAAATTAACGTATACACATCGTAGTGCTGCTTTTGCCTTCAAGATCTGTACCAGTATGGTCGGCTGTGAGCTGTATAACCCAGGATTACTAGCTATCCGTTATGTTTTTCTTAAAATTTGCCTCTGATGGCTCACAAAAAAGTGAAGATTGGCTAAAAGCCATTACCAGTTAAGGTGATGAAGTGTGACTTAGCAGCTGTAAAACTCAGGCCACCTCATGCTATACAAATGTTGACACTTGTGATTCATTTTACATTTCAAGTGTTGGTCTGGAGGGATCTGATCGATTTCAGGTTTGATCACAAACTAACTTCAGTTAAAACACCATTAAATAGAGGAACAATAGATAACCGTCTCTTCGTTGTTGGGGACTCTTCAATTATTTCGTGAGCAAACTTGAAATCAACCATATCTCTGTAAGTTAACACTTGAAATCAATCCAGTGCTCATTAGTGACTTGTTACAAGATGAAGTTGCTTGAAGTTCTATTGGAAAGTCCTGATCAACAGCGTCCATCAAGTTGGGTATGACGGGAAATACTCGCCTTTGAAATTAGCTAGCTGTCGCACCATATGTCACAATTTGGTAGAATTTAGGTCTGATGGGACATCAGATTCCGTCCCAGTGATTGCATAGTCAATGAGTTGTCTGTGTAACCTGAAGGTCCTGGAATTGATCGTCAGTGGGGTGATGATGCTTGCTGACAAAGAGTTCGAGATGAGGACGAAACTGCTGTCCGCAACTCTAGTGGTTTCCAGTGGTTCTCCAAGCGAAGTCAGTTCGTGATCTTGAGGAAATCTAATAACACTCTTTAATCTTTACTCTCTAACCAATGACCAATATATCAAATCGAAAACTATGGATGAGGAAACTGGTAATCTACCTCAGTGTCTTGTTAAAATAACGACATAAAGGCTGAAAAATTCCTCTGTATACATAATCCTTCTTTCCAGATGTAAAATTTGAAACAAGACATCAAAGCGAACCAATGCTATTATTCGTTACACTGAGTCAGACAATGATGTATTCTAAATTAGATCGTATTAGTTAGGGCATCGCTATTTTGGATATCTTAACTGGACCTATTGATCCATTCCTTTTTGTTATTAGTAAAGTTTTGTCGTTTCCTTTGTGATTATTTTACCAAGTGTTATCTGGTTAACAAATATGGTGACACTTATTACGTTAAAATTAGGATTAAGTTTCGATATATATGTGCTAAATTATGTTTTTGATTCAATTTGTTTGCACACATTGAATGGTTTACTATAATTGTGAAATGCTTGTTTTTAACCTGTATGCATTGTAGAATGCGTTAATACGTGTATTTTCAATGATTAGGTGTTTGACTTTAGGTAATATTTTGTCGTGGAGACAAAATTTCGCTCCACATGATTATAGTGACTACAGAAAAATATTTCTGTTCATACATTTACGAAAAGTCGTCGTGTATATTCTCTTAGTAGTCAGTTATTTTTTCATACATTTGGTTCCCTCGATAAATTTTGATGGCGAAAGAAAGACCAGATTTGCAGTATAAAATGATATCATTCTATTTCACAGGTTCTCATCAGTCATTTTTGATAGTTGTTACTTGTTCCTGGTAGTGGGGGGAGATAGTGAGTCTTTAGATTGTGTTATCAAACTTTCCATTTGTTCATAATGTACTTTACAATGCCAATATTGTTTTTTCATTCATAAATCCTTTTATATTGTTGTGGCTTTTGGACTTTGGTAGTATTAATCTCGTTTTATGTTCGTTCACTCTAGTTTTTAATGGTCTCAACAAGTGACCCAAATAGTTAGTCAGTGAAATGGTGGGTGAGGGATTAATGTAATTAATTATATTTATGTTTCAATAGTTTACACAATAATTTTGTATTTCGGTAATATGGATTGCTGTACTTTTGATAGTATCAACAGTCCTTCAGACTCAAATAAATTTTATCGCGTGAATAGAGGATGAATTAGAAAGAAGAGGGGCGGTAGTGGAACTTCCCATATTGGATAGTAAAATAGACTTTAGCTCGAGGAGAACGGTTAACAGAAAATCAACTCACTAAAGACGGTTTCTGACCTTACCCCTCAGTTCACTGTTAAATGAGAGTTGTGTAAACAGTTTATATAGGGTAAGAAGAGTTTACATGAAGGACAATATCTCAAGGAAAAGAGATAACAGAAACTGATGATTGTAAAGGATTTGCAGTATTTACCATATACGAGGAAGGCACAAAAGGTGCAATTCAAATGACACTTTACAAGAAGACTGATGTTTGGATTACTTTGAAACCAGTCAGTTGGAATTAGGAGTAAACTAAACCAACTGAAAGATCCAATTTAAAATACAAAACAAACATATCAGACGAACAGTGTACTTAACAAAATTATTTTATGAGCTGGCTACTGCTTTTAACTATGTGTAGGTTAAATGTTGAGGCCACTGAAAAAAAATTAGACGGAATGAACAAAGACGATATTCATTCAAAAATCACAAGAATACAATGAATTTATTATTTCGAAACAAAATAGTTCACCAATAGCTGTTCATGCGTGGGATGAAAACAAAAAATGAACAAATGGAAAGAGACGAAACAGTTGGTGTTCATACATCTTATTCCACTTATCTTCCCCCATTCTTCGTGCAAACATGCGCAACATACTTTATAGATTTAAAAAACAATAAAAAGGTGTAACTACTAAAATAAGATAGATAAAGTAACTTTCTGTCTTAGTGCCAATAACAATAGTTTCACAATCATTTGTGTGATTACTTGTAGTGAAATATGTTCACTTGATGACGAAACAGTTCAATCTACAATTGAAACTTGTTATTGTGTAAACAAACACTGGTTATTGTAAATACATGAAGTACACAAAGATATTATGTGTTCTTCTGTCCTACCCAAATACAATGTAAGCTAATTCGATATAATATCGACACAACTGGTGTATCTGTCTGTCTGCTGAATAATAAATTGTAACTTATTCATCATTCTCGATACGTGGGATCTTTTAACAGTTGGTTTGAGCCAACCACGTAGGGATGCTTAAGTTCTAATGTCTGGAGACTATTGATGATATTGTTCAAAATAGTTCTCAATGGCACAGATGTATTTACACTCTTTTTCTGACCTGTCAAATCTATTAAACCGTAATGTTTTTCTGTGTTACTACTATTCTTCCCCTTTCACATTTCTTTTAATTATCGTTCTCTAATATCATTTTTTCTCTTGTTTGTCTTCCTTTGTTTACTACATGGAGTGTGACAACTGAAATTGCTGCACTTCTGCGCAAAGTTCTATGCTAGAACCGGTTAGTTGGTCACTATGAGTTATAATACAATAATCTTAGCATACTTTTGTCTATCAATAGGAAACAGTCTTCCAACGAGGCATACAGAAACGTTATAGTAAGATAAAAAAAACATAAGAATGACAAGTTAAGTGATTCATTAATATTATTGTAATTCTGAATGATAAAATACGGCGAGTAGAACTCAGAAGATCGAAATAAAGTATGTCCAAATTTGGTATATAAGTTGCCTAATAAAAAAGGATGATGTATTTTGTAACTAAAATACACGGAGTAGTACTCAAAGGATTGAAAATTAAAGCTTAATATGAAAGTCAAACTAAACAACAACATGATGCAACCGAAAAATAGAAAATAAACTACAATAGAGAATGAATGATACGTCGTTTCAATGAGGTATCAAAAGCTTTATAAATTCAGATAGCTGACTACCAATCATCTCAAGATATCGATTAGCTACACAATATCACTTATTATGTAAGGAAGGTTTTTCTAAAAGTTTTAGTCTAGTTTCTCTTTCGAAGCTATATTATAATTGTTTAAGGTCATTTACACGGAAAGATATTTCAAGCACCACACAGGCTAAAAACTACACTTATCATGTAAAGGCTGGTAATAACTACCCAGTTACCCATGCTGGAGTCGGTTAAGCAGAGCCCAAACTCATGACCCATCGACTGAAAACTGACAGCTTCGGCCAATGAGCCAAATATCCCCTATAATATAATTAATTAAAAGATAAGAAAGAAAAAAATGTAGTCGATGTAATTCATTTACTTCTTTTCTTTAATATCTGATTCATCCATCGTTTTACACCCACGCAAAGGTCTTTGTAGCGTGAACAATCGCAACCAAAATACCCATGGGCCAGTTACATCAGTGTGATTGTAAGTGTAGGGGTTTGATTAAGTGTTCATTCAAACACACGCATATACTTGCGTAAGTAGATAGGACCAGTTTCATTAGTGATTAATACACTTTCATTGTTCAATAGAAAGTTTCACTTATAATCGTGTTCTTTGTTTAATTGTCTTTTTTTCTTCTTATCATGTGATTGATCTTCGTCAATCATGCATTATTATTATTCTGCTGTCTTGTTACTTTTCTTTCTTAATTATGATATGTGACTTTATTATTGCTGTCTTGTTATGATAGCTAAAAATCTTGATCCTGTGATTATTTCATTTGTATTAGCGTTTGTGTGTGTGCGTGTCAATAATTTATCAATCAAATCATGTTATTCTGAAGAAGAAAAAAGATATTTGACTGAGTTGTGGTCATCTGACAATAATGGAAATGTAATTCAAATTAGGGTTAAAAGCAGACTTTATCCTCAACCTTAGTGGATGATTATAAGTTCGCGTAATGCGGAAATGAATATTATTACTTCCCAGACAATAGGGTTCACTCACAGACAATGATACAAAAATCAGCAATTATTGGTTAACATTACAGTATAATTGTTGTTAATTCTTTTACTCTACGACTCCTATAAATCATAGATGAAGTATGTTTAATCTTTTGATTCGATGCCTATGGAAGTGTATGTATTCATATTGATCGATTTTGCCTTCTTAAGATGTAAGCAAGACAAACCAACCGCCCTATTATTAGATAAGCATTTCCAACAAAATTAATTTTACGGACTGCTTTGTTGGAAATACATTTTTATACGTGGACATAAAGTTTAGCGTTTGATGCGGGCTCTTAAGTAATCATATAACTGCTTTTAGTCGTCACTCATGCGTATAATATGCCTCTTCAGTGGTCGTTTCATCGAGAGAGCTCTGTGACTGGTGAAAGTTTGTTTTATCTTTAGGTGTGAACATGGATGATTTGATTTACCACCAAAATATGTATGTGAATTTAATTCAATTTGAGATTTTCCTGTCGATTGATTGGACCGAAGTGCTCGGTCTCAGGTTGACATGTCGGCTTCTTATGCAGATGCTTCGATGATGTCTGGGCATTTAGTTAGTATTTAATTGGTGGTGGATGATGGTGACTAGCAGTGGAATCAAGGATGCGCATTTCGTCCTATTTGGGACTCGTCATCTGGATGTGCCTGCATTTCTCAGTGAGTGGTGATGTTCCCACTGAGGTTTGAACCCAGTGCTTATAGTTTCAAATGCCAAAGCGTTATTTACTAGACCACTTGGGCCACGAGAGCCACCTCTTGTGCAACGTGTCATGTTAATTTAATTGAATTTGAGATTTTCCCGTCGATTGTTTGGACCGAAGTGAATATTTATAATGATGAAACAGTAATTCGTTGGTGAAGACAGTCATCTTTATATCTGACTGGCTGACTTACTTTCAACGTAGAACACTGTGCATAGAAGTTACCACACTCCTTATGGCATGCAAAGGTGAAGGGAGAAAACTTCAGAACTACTATTGAACAAAAATGTACAAGGTATGAATATTCACATAGAGGAGAAAAATGAAGGCAAAGGGCTCTTGGGGATTGCAGAGAGTCATGTATCTGCACCATTGATAACGATCTTGAGACATATCATCAAGGGTCTCAAGGGGTTGATTCTTAGCGTCTTGAGGAGTACACCCTTTTTATGGCGGACTTAAGCGAACAGTCAAAGACTTCATATATTGATACCAGGTTTCTATGTAACTAGAGGGTTGTACCTATCACTCCATTGACTGAGGTCTGAACAACTACGGTAGTAATATCACCTGCCATATACACATTTGTTTTCTTATCAAGTTCACTGAAGTAACGAATCCAAATTCTCTGGTATACTCATATTTGCAGTTTTTTTGTTCACATTGACTACCAGACAGAGTACAGGAGGTGGGTTTCGTTCTATCTGGGATTCCCCAGTTAGAATTATTGCATTCTCAGTGAGTGCCGGTGTTCCCACTGAGACTTCTACCCAGCATCCTAAGCCTTATCTACTGGACCACCTTTTATCCGATGAGTATCAAGTGTTATTTGTTGAGATTATCATCAGATTGCCATATATGGGAAATTTTCATTTTCAGGAATTATTCACTATATTGTGCGTCGGTGGCATAGCGGTTAGGACGCTCGCCGACCATGTACAGGGTCCGGGGTTCGATTCCCAGCCGACGCACTCCTTTCCCTCGCTAAGCCAGAAATAGTGCTGGTAAAGAAGAAAGATTGGGCATGGGCTAGCAACCCCATCCTGTAAAAATAAACACAGCTACAGAAACTTCAAGCCACTAGCTTGAAGCCCTATGTTCCACTGGGAACGTGAAGGAAAAAAAATTCACTATATTGCTAATGTAAGAATAGTTATTCCATTGACTGATTACCCCTTACACACACATTCACCTTATTCTTTTATCTCATTGATTCCTATAGATCCCAATAATGTTGAAAGTTTGTTTACGATTGTGATATTGTGAATTCGATTTTGTTATGCTGTGAATTATGTGAATCACTAAGATAAATATTGGCAGTCACTTAAATCTGGAAAAGTACATTTTAATATGGCGTTAGCTTCATCATTAATCTACTTTTACCAAAAAACTTTATTAGGCTGTGTGACTCATTGGTTTCAAAGTGGTCATTCTTCCATGACCATGAATGGTTATTAGAGCTTCGTATCATCTTACAATATTTTCTGTTCTGATACAAAAGGCATAGTCTGTTACCAGCTGTGTACAAACTTGTACACGTGACTTTTGAGTGACATCTCAAGCTTTTCATATTTACTTTCCATTTTAACTACAAAATTGTTTGCTTTCAATATACAAAAACAGAATGACGTCAATTGTATTATCTGCTTTATTGTTTTTTCTTCTAATGATTTTTAGGTTTTACATGTACACAAGCCTCGGGGAGTTACAAATTTAGGTATGAGTTTAGAAGGTATAACTTATGTATCGGAGCCAGCTTTCGACAATACTTCTAATAATTGTAATCAATCTCAAACAACAGCTACAAGTAATGGTCATTTGAAAGCTATGTCTACTCCAGTGAGTCATCATGTGATGTCGAATGGTTTAGACCAAAAAAATGAACAAAATAAACCATCACGTCATTTTGTGCAATATATTGTTCCAGAGGGATTAATTGGTAGTTTAGGTGTTGTACAAACAGGTGATGAACTACTTCAGGTGAGTAGGTTACCTGTGTGTTTTTTTCCCCTATTTACACCTAATAATGCCATTCTTTTCGCACTCAGTCGAATATTTGCACAAGTTCTTCGTATTCTACTTCTTTTGTCTTACTTTAATGCTTTCTATGTTGTTTTACAAGGATCTTTGATTTTTCTTCTTCTAAACATCTAGCCCGTCGCTCAGTTATTCATGGTTCCTGTAGACGACATAAGTAGCACCCGCCACACTGTTTGAATTGTTGATGGAACTTTACTCTGCAGGTTGATTGTTGCTTTGATTTGTCCGTTGTGTATATAAATGCTACACCACCAACTATAAAACCCGAAGTTAACAAGCGCATCCATGAAGTGGAGACAACCAGTCAATCTTAAATAATGAAACAGTTAAAGCGGAGAATTTGATTTCCATATTGTTTCAGGGTGTACGGAATAGATTTTATCCGAGCGCAGTTTACCAGTTTTGTCTCTGCAATAGACTACTTGTGGAACTAGTGTGACAATTGATGGGCATTTTTTTAAAATCGTTGGGTGTCAAAAATGAGAATGAGTACCTACACATCCGTTCAAAAATAAAATAGTCCCTCCCACCAAAACTTTTTGGGTGGTATGACTGGTCCCTTCAAGATCATTGGTACATTTGTTAGCTTATAACTCTGTAGATTAACTTTTTTCTGTCTTCATTTGGTGCTTACATTTTGTAGTTGATAAGACTTTTATCAAAATCCCAAATTTTTTTATTCTGCAGTGTAGACCGTATTTGTTTTAGCGGCTTCGTCAGTTTCTTGAATAAGCACTGGTTCTTATTTTTGATATGGTCCATTGATTATCTAAGGCAATTAAATTATATCTGATGGCTGAGGATTGGGAGTGTACACGACCTACTATCAACTGGGAACACTGTTATGTACTACTGTTTGGGTGATGAGTAGTTGGCTACCATTCATATCAACCAGTAGTGCTTGTTAGTCAGATCAAAATAATGTAAACACCGGACTGTCGTTTCGTTCATTGGGGGCAATGTTTATTAGCAATGTACTTGATTTTACTCATCTCAATTGAAATCGCTAATATTCCAGCTAAGTTATCACGATTTATAGAATCAAGCAGATGACATATTGTGATCCGAATAATTGTGGTTTCTAAAGAAGATAGTGCAATTTGGGAAAATTGTTAACACACACACGCACACAATAGGGTATAGGCATATACGGTTGTATATTCTGAGAGAATTGAGAGAGACACATGAACATTACCCACACTTTTTGTCTATTCAGTAATTACCTCATCCACTGTGTCAAATGTTTATTCATCTTTCTTATCAAAAATAATGAATTCGGTTCATTATTATTACTATCAGTTTCAGAAGTGTAAATTAGAATATGTTTGCTTCACTTGTGGTGAATGTTAAACGCAGTAAATGCATAATTATAGATTCACATTTCTTCAATGCAGTTAACAGTTCGTGTTCATGTATTCTATGGTATATCTCATAGTAAATGCTAATGACTGGGAAAAAAGTAGCAATATGAAACTTAAGGGAATCAAGTGATTTCAATTGGCACATTGTACAACATCGTAGAAATAAAAGAATAAGACAGACATTACAATAAACAAAATTTGTAAACAGATAAGATGAAGAAAAGAAGGACAATGCATAGGTAAATCATAACAAAACTGTCTATTTTAGCTCATGTTGTCGGCAGAAAGTCGTCGATCGTTCATTACCACTGTCTTTGAGGGTAGCCTAGCCAAAAGTTCAATGTTTTCCTCAAGCCAACATGCATATAATGGATGGATCAGTATGCCAGAACATGATTCGGAGATCTGATGCCGTTTCACATCATCTGTGTTACCCGCTATTTTATTACTAAAGTTAGTTAAAAATTCCTGTGACTAGTTGACTGTGGCTGGTAGTGGAATCCAAGATGCGCGTTTTGGCATCCTATCTGACGCTTGTCTGCTGAATTTGCCTTCATAATTAGTAAGAATCGAGTCAAGCGCCCATCGTCTCAAATGCCAAAGCGTTATCCTTTATGTTAATTAAGAATACTCTATCAGTAGTAGATTTAGATTTCACTTTTATTGGATAAGGCTTAAACTTTTAGTAGCGGTGTTGTTTTCCTACGGTGTAGGATTGCTAGTCTTAGACTTAGCCCTCCTCTTTTCCGAGCTTACTAACGGTTAATAAAATAGTCAGTGTTTAGGAGAGCATCGACCGACAGCTCTTTTCTATTAATTTCTCCCCTCACAATGCCACACTGTTAGTAAGCAAATATGATTAATGTTTCACTGAAAGGTATTCTATGATATCTTGTCACTCTCATTTCCTTTGCTATTGGAGATGGTTATTTATTTGTTTGTTTAAAAATATGTTTATTTTCTAGGCGAATGGTCATCGTATTCATGGGACATCTTATACAAGTACTCTTCGGTATTTACGCAGTTTACCGTCAAGAATTCAGTTAGTACTTGGACGTAAAAAGCCTACTTGTACACACGAGGATGAAAATAATGCTGGTTTAAACTTTTCTGCAGACAGTAATCCATTGATAGACTGTACAGATGAACCGCCTCTTGAAGTTGTCGCTAGTGAAATAGGTTCTGTTGATACTGTTCCATCGATAAGAATGATCAGTTCATACGATGTGCCTGATCGTGCTGTTGCTTATTCCGGACCAGTATCACCGATGTCAGCGCATAGACGTGTTACTGAGTGGATAAGGAAATCTCAAGGTGACTTGAGTAACACAGCTCCTCATCTATCTTCACCTGAATCTGTATCCATGTATGAACAGAATAATACCTCCAGATCAGAAAAAGCTTCATCATATAATCTTGAAGTAAGCGCCTATCTGCTTTTATTGATATTATCTCGTTTGTTTATTTTTATATATTTTTTTCTGTGCTTTGAATTTTCTGTAGTGAATGGATTGATTTTTTAAGGTGGCTACCCCTTGGCCCAACCTTAGGACCAGCTTAGTAAACTAACGAGCCAGTGAACTCAGCGTAAGTAAAGAGATCCGAATTTTCCACACTAATACTGAGGCAGTACGTCTGTATGGTTGAAAGACTTATTATTATTGCTTCCTTGGGTTCCTAGTGGAACATAGGGCTTCAACTGCACGTCTCCATTTGCTTCTGTCTTCTGCTGTACTTTCCACCTGCATCCGTTAGTCCATACTCTTTCAACTCCTCTTCACACGATCTCCTCCATGTCACCCTTGCACTGACGTCCCACTCACCGCTTCCCTCTCGGCCTGGTTCCACTCGAGCAATGGCCTGACGCGCGCGTGATGTCACCCAGCGGTCTCCTCAACGAGTAGTGTCCAATCCATCACCATCCACATTCTCCTGCATATTTGTTGGTTGACGATTGGTTCTTGTTTTGTTTGTTCCCAGCCATAGTTTCTTGTTGGTGATACTTTCCGGCCCGGCCATCTGATCTTCAGTATAGAGCGGAGACAGTTGTTAATAAAGGTCTGCAACAGGCTGTTGGAAATATTCTTTGTGACCCGCCCGCCAAGTTTCTCATCCGTATAGAAGAACTGACTGACTTGACGTTTGTATTGAAAATCCGACCGAATTTTGTTGTTGATGCTGGTTGAGTGACGAAGATTTCCAGATTGGTTGTTTCAGGTTGATGAATGTGTTTCTTGCCTTCCCGATTCTCGCTCGATTTGAAATCCTCGTCCGTCCTGACTTCCTGTAGTTGAGACAATACTCCCTAGATAAGTGAATGAAGTAACCTCTTTCAAATCCCTCCCGTTGATGGTGATTGGCGGAGGATGTTTCTGCTGTTGTTGTTGTTGTTAGTTGGTTATTTTCATCACCTCCGTCTTGTCTATGTTCACCTGGAGTCCTATCTTCGCCGGCTGCTTCTTCGACCGGTTTGTCGGTTTTCGCTTGAAATTCTTCGATGTTGCGTGACATCAAACATAAATCATCCACGCGCGAAATCTAGGTCTTCTAGGTTCTTCGCGTCAGTCCAGGATATCCCTGTCCACTGGTGGTTTCCCACTGTCTGACGCATAATCCAGTCAGTCCACCACAATTAGGAACATCATTGGTGATAATAAGCCTCCTTGTCTGATTCCTGTGTTTATTCCAAACGCCTCGCTGAGTGCTGTCAAAGGCCTTCTGAATGTCTATAAAGTTGAGGTAGAGGTTTGATTGCCATTCCATGCTTTGTTCTGTGATGATGATGCGTAGAGTTGCATTTATTTGGTCAGTATATGATTTGCCTTTCCTGAATCCAGCTTGTTTTGGTCGGAGTTCTGCATCCAGTGTGTCCTTTATTCTCTCCAGGATGACGCGACTCAGGATTTTACTTGGTTTTGACAGGAGCATGATTCTTCGCCAGTTCTCGCAGAGTGAGGCTTAAGTCGCCCTTCCTTGGTAGTTTCACGAGGTAACTTTCCTCCAGTCAGTAGGCACCTTTCCCTCCTTCCAGACCTTTTGCAATAATGGAGTCAGCATGTCTGCTGTCATCTCTGGGTCCTCTTTTAGTGCTTCAGGGTGTATTCGATCTGGTCCAGCTGATTTTCTAGCTTTCAGAAGCTTGATTGCATTCAAGACTTCAGCTTTCGTTGGAGGATTGGTGTCATCTTGCAGTTGTGTACGTGCTGTTGTTGGTATTTCTGGACGGGTTGCAGGTGGTGGTCGGTTCAAGAGTCTTTTGAAGTGATCCGCCCATTGTTTAATCTGTCTTTCTTCCTTGGTGATTGGGTTCTCTTGGCTGTCTTTTATAGGTTTCACTTGTGTTGATCTCTTCCCGGATAGAGACTTGGTTATCCGATATAATGTCCTCAGGTCCCTTTTGCCTGCTGCCTTCTCAGCTTCAGTGGCGAGGTTGTCGTAGAATCGTCTTTTGTCCTTCCTAGCACTCTTCTTCACTTCTTTGTCCAGTGCTGTGTAGGTTGAGCTCAGCGTCTCCTTCTCCTGTCCGTCCTTGCATTGAGTCATTTTCTCTTTCACCATCCTCCTCTCCTCTATTAGCTTTCAAGTGTCCGTTGAGAGCCATTCTTGTCTTGTCTCTTCTTTTTTCCTAGAACCGCTGAACACGTTTCGTTGAGAATCGCCTTCAGAGAGTTCCAATGTTCTTCCACGCATGATTCCTCTGTGATGTCGCGTAGTATTTCCTGCTTTGCTCTGACAGTTGCAGTGAAATTGTCCTTTGTTGTTGTGTCCTTCAGTAATTGAGTGTTGAACTTGCATTGTGGCCTATCCCCAGCTATGGCGCAGAAGTCTGAGAAGAGTTCGCCATTGTCATCCATTTCACCGAGGGCCCACGACCCATGGTGAGTTCCTCCCAGCTTCGCATTCACGTCGCCCATCAGGATTTTGATATCGCCATTGGGACGTTGTCCATTATTGCCTGTAGTTGTCTGTAGAACGCCTCCTTCTTCTCTTGTTCTGAGACGTTTGCAGGCGCATAGCATTGAATGATTGTAACTTTACTTCCTTTTGAGTTGAACCTGGCTGTCATTATCCTGGAGGAGATCGGTTCCCACTGCATGAGAGCTTTGGCTGCTGTTGGTAACATCATGATGGCCACTCCCTCGGTGTGCTCGTGGTTGTCCTCTGGGTGGCCTGAATAGATTATTGTCTCTCCAGTTGGTAGTTGGCACCTACCACATCCGTTCCATCTGCTCTTGCAGATTCCCAACACTTCTATTCTGTACCTTCTCATTTCAGCGGCTACCTGGACAGCCTTTCCAGTTTCGTACATTGTACGAACATTCCAGGTACCCATCCTTTTTTTTGCTTTCATCGAAAGAAGGCACATCGGCTGACTGGCTCCCCGAAGGCTTTCACCAGCCTGCGTCATTTCACTTCCCCGATTCCAGCGAAAAATAAGGCTATTGTTTATGTTTTTAGAATTTTTAATATATTTGCGCGTTGAAGTTTCTGTAACGCTTTGGTTGTTTTACAGGGGTGGATTTGCTAGCACCACGCCTCAACCCTCCCTCTTTATCCGGGTTTGGGACCGGTTGGAAAACTAGCAAGCTAGTAATCTGGCGAGGTTGAAAGACTTAGTGTGTTACCAAAAGTATTTCCAGCAATTTTCTGTGGATTTTTATCGGCATCTGCCCCCTTCTCTCCTTTCTGAAGATGTTATGTCAGTTCGAAAAGCATCAATAACGACGAACTAATCCTTAACCTACTACCCAACAAATATGCGGTAAGCAATGGGAATATAGATTGGGAATACTCCGAGAAAGCCGTTGAGCGACATGCCCTCCCACGTTGTCGAGTGGATGGTGAATAGAAAATGGTGATTGGAGCGTAGGTGACAGTTTAACGTGGAGGATATCGTGTGAAGGGGAGGCAATGTAAGTTTATGGGTGGTAATCGTGGAGCCAGATAAGAGAGACAGAACAAAAGGAAATAGTAATATGCTACTGAAGCACAGTGTGTTCCACTCGAAACTCAAAGGGTTGTTTTCTAAACATGTTACTAACTACTCAGAACAGTCAGTAGTAATATGATTGTTGTATATAACACTTAGACATCATTACGCAAATGGGTTTACGATTTCTTAACGTATTTTAAAGTGTCAGAGCAGTCGCATGGATCGCGAAAAGATACGAAAGACGTCAAGCATTTTATTGATGTGAAGACTGGTGAGAGCGGATCTAATGTTCATTAGGACAAAGTCAATGTACATTTGGGAAATCGTAAAGGTCACACTTGTTTTTACGAGTTTTACCAGTTTGATATCAGCTGGAGAACCACTTAAAACCAAGGAGTACTGGGAAGCTATTTCATCCTAGTTTAATGCTCGCTAGTGACTTGTTACAGGACAGAGTTTCCTGGAGTTCTGGTAAGAAGTCTTGACCAGTGAGGTCCATCCAGTCAAGTGTGAGGATGGAGTTCCCGCCGATGGCTTTGGTTGGTGGTCGCGGTAAGTCACGAATTGGTAGAAGTTTGAATTCATGGGCCACTGAGTTGGGTCCCAGTGACAATGGCATAAGAGCTTGCCTTTTAACCGGAAGGTCCTGGGTTCGAACCCCGGTGATTGCGTACTGCTGATGATTCCCAAACTAGGATAGAACAACTATCCATGGTTTTCAGTGGTATTCTAACTGATATCAATTCGTGTTAAAACTCGTAAAAACGAATCTTGGTAAGCTGACATTGCATCAGTGGAAGGAAGGCAAGGTAATAGAGATGAAGATGAAGACAAAGATAAGTGAGGGTTAGAGCACCTTTCTCAGATGTTTCACGTTCGTATCATTGGTATCTTTCTGTCACCTCGTACTGCTTCTTCATTGGCTTTCTGACTCCTTCTCCGACTTTATTTGAAATAATACTTGTGTTTATGTAAAAGCAGTTTACACACAGACACCACAATATAACTTTCATATTGCTCATCTTCCCAAAGTAACTCTAATACCTCTATGCAAGTAACAGAGATATTGTTGTGAAAGTGTCGAATGAAGATTCCGCCCTCTTTATCCACTTTTAGCACAGCATATGTTTTTACTAGATTGGCGTTTATAAAATTGTGAATCTGGTCTCTCAGCTTTCACTGTCCAATCATTTTGTACTGCATAACCTACCAGTGGAATAAACAACGACAACAAATTTTTGTAACTGTGATGATTAAAAATATTTGAAGTTGTCCGATTGCCTTGACTGCAAATAGTGTTCAAAATAAAATGTCATCCTGTTATAACGGTGCAACATTGCATATATCCCTATCCATAAGTGGTATATATTATCTCTCCAAATTAACATTATGTGAGTTCGCAATAAGATACAGAATGGATTTAGTTGTCTTGTCTGATTTGACCAACTAAATCTGAAAGACTCAAGTCTTCCAGACTATGCCGCTTTT